GTAATTCATTTTGGTACTCTGCACTTCCTAAGAGCTTCAAAAATGTGTCTCAGTCTTGTATGCACAACAAGAATAACCAAAATTAAATCAGACAAAAACCAAACATAATAACGAGGACACCAAACGATAACACCTCTAACTCACGAAAACAAAGTAGTTGCTACGTAAATTCAATAATACTCAACTTTTACGGCCTGTTGAATTTTCACACACCATAGATTTTGTATTCTATGCACACATTCATTCGTTTTCAAGTACATTATCAGCCCGTTACACTTAGTACTCTGCTGGAAGTTAAAGTGTACTATCTAAATAAATTTATTGAGTATCAAACTTTTTCTTACTCCAAGGTGCCAGGAAAACATGTATTTGAAATGTGCATTGCTGATTCTGTTGACTTGGATGATTTCGTATCACCATCGATAATGATGTAATTGAAAATGAAAGTTCCTCGGATTAAAATATAAAGTGACTGAGACATACTTTTATCTTCACGTTAGCAATTACAAAGAACAGGCTTGGGATATCACTGAATTTGAATAAGATAATAATCGAAGAAAAATGACAAGGACAGATCACAGTATGTTTGAATCAGTCCCAATCTTCATTACGATGGTGGTAGTCGTGAAGTTTCTCGTCATAGTATCCTTTCCATCCATCTTCGTGATCAGTGTTGCCCCACTGCTTGGCAGCTTCTTGCCAGGCCCCGTTGTCATAAGCCTTTCCTTCAATGTCTTTACCACCTGCAACCTTATCCCAAGCACTGTGAGCCAAGCCATGATCTGCACCTGCGTGTTCATAACCCTTTCTGAAGCCACCATGATTAGCATTCTTCACGTGAGCTTTTTTTGCTGCTTCATGATCGTAGCCTTCAAATACCATTTCTCATTCAGAACATTTGGATAAAGAAACCAACTAGTTCAAACTGATAATTCTTACTTTTTTAAATTAATACACAAAGTTGATATATTAAATTTAATGCATTTAGTTCACAAACAAGTTAATATTTTGCTTACCATTTGTTCCCCAATATCCTTTGGAGTAGAATCCATTTGGACCGGATCCTTGGGTAAAGTAGGAATACTTTTTGTGTCCTTCGGCTCCTACAACATCATATCTGATATTTCAAAATAAATTAGCAAATATTGAGATCCCACTGATGTTTAGAATGTAAATAATAAAATATTTAAAAATTTATGCAAACTATTTAAGTAATTCATGATGGTATTCATTTTGAGTGTTAATTTTACCAGTAAGTGAATGTTCTCCTGCTTCTAAAGCATCAGCAATGTGCCCATCTGCGATCTGCTTTGCAAATTTAGAAAATCCATCAGTAGCACCTTTGCTACCATATGCAAAACCAGAATGATCGCGATCGCCATAGTCATGTTGCTTTTCTCCATGTTCTCCCGCTCCTATTAATGCACCTTTTGTTGAACCGAAGCCTTCCCAAGCAACGCCATCTCTGTCCCACTGATGTCCTAAAATATTAAAACATTTCGAATTTCGAGTTGTGTAGACTGAAATCGTTGTCTAAATTCATTTAAAAATGTACTACTAACTTCACATTTGCACCAATAATTGTCATTCACAATTTATAAACAAAATTACGGCATTCAAGCTTAATTATTTGTGCTAGTTTATATAGCTTTTGAAAGTACAAATGACTCGCATTAATTTCGAGAAAGAGATTCAGA